ACACACACACACACACACACACACACACACACACACACACACACACACACACACACACACACACACACACACACACACACACACACACACACACACACACACACACACACACACACACACACACACACACACACACACGTATATATTTTTTTGTATGGATTAAATAAGATACTGAATACATAGATTTGAATCAAGAAGTATAACACAAGACTTACCCAGTTTATTTAAGATTTAGAATAGAAGTTCTTCCCAAACTGAAGTGAAATTCACCACAAATTAACTCTTAACTAAATAGATCTTAAAATGATTATGCAATTATTAACCAAATTAACATGTTTGTGTAGAAAAAAACAAACATTTGCCAATGTGAAAAAGCATGTTAATGATACTATGAGAGATAATTTTTCATAGGGAGCAAATTTGCTGTGATACTTACTACAGTTTAATAATTTAAGAAGAAAAGGAATGTGGAAAAGAATAAGGATAAGAAGAAAAAGAGAAAGAAAAGAAAAGGATAGAAAAAAAGAAAATGGAAAGGTAGGAGGCAGAAAGAGAAAGAGAAGTAAAGGAAGAAGAGAAAGATATAGAATCAAAAAGAAAATTTCTCTGCCTGGTATATGTATATCTTGAAAAGCATATATAGTACCTTTAAATGGGAAGAGAAGGAATAGAAATAATAATAATAATCATAATCATAATTATAGTTATAATTATAATAATGATAATGATAATAACAATAATAATGATAATTATACTAGTAATGGTAATTATAATGACAGTAAAAGTAATAATAACGACAATTATTGGTATTATTATTAGTAGTATTAATGTTACTATACTCCTCTTACTATTAATGTTATCATACTCCTTGTTATCATACTCCTCTTACTATTACATTCTTGCAGAATCATGAAGGTGGTAGGAGTCATCGGAGCCGGAGCATCAGGTCTCTGTGCTACTCGGCACATCCTGGCCTCAGAGGAGCTAACCCCAATAGTATGGGAACAGTCGTCACAGATAGGGGGTACGTGGAGGGTCTCCAAAGATGTTGGGACAGACAGCAGAGGCTTTCCTGTACACTCAAGCATGTATGAGAGTCTGAGGTATGTTACCCTTGTATTGGTATTTTTGGATTGATATTTGTCTGTATAACATTGTGTATCTTGTTTTTCTGTGCTTTTATAATGAATTGATATTTGTAATTCTATGTTGATTATATGCAGTGCAATTACGAGGATTTGATTTTCCTTTCTGTACATCATCAGGACAGATTTGCCAAAATTGATCATGAAATTCCCAGATTTTGAATTTCCAAGTACGGTAGAATCCTTTGCACATCACACAGCCGTTCTCAAATACCTGGAAGATTATGCTGATCATTTCAAGCTTCATCCATATATTAAAGTAAGAATATTTTGAGTAACTCATTGTTTAATACCTTTTATTTTGTGAACTTTTAATTTTCTTATTTACTGATTTTATAGAAATAAAACCAGTATGTGAAAAAATAGGCTGCATATACTATTTACTATTTTCAGAAAGTTTGCTTGTTTTTCTAACATCAACACTGAATATCTTAAATCTTATGTACTTGCATATTTAACATTTTACTCCTTCAAGAAATAACATTTTAATCATAATTATTTGTGTTATAGCTTGGCCACCATGTAGAGAATGTGGCTGTAGTGGAGAGTGACGAAGGGCCTCCGTCCTGGGCTGTTACAGTGAAAGATCTGTCAACGGGTGTAGTCAGCACTGTCACATGTGATGCCCTGCTTATATGTAATGGGTATATATTCCAGAGTATTTTTTCATCACATACCAGAATGCCATTTTAAAACAGCTACATAATTTGAAATCATGCTAGAGCAGTCACTCTATGGTAAAATGATATTAGGATTATATCTTAATAATGAACTTTTTTTCTCAATGGTGAGTCATTTCTTTGCATATTATATACTGCTGGTATCCATTTTTCTGAATTCCTTATTATGTTATTGAGTGAAATGGTAGTCTCTAAAATAGCAGTAACACGAGGTAATGTGAAATATCCACAGGCACTTCTCCACGCCTCAAAAGCCACATATTGAAGGGATTGAGGATTTCAAGGGTCAACAGATTCACAGCCATGACTATCGTGAACCGTCACCATACACAGATTCTAAAGTTATAATCCTTGGTGCTGGGGCCTCTGGGCTGGATATATTAATGGAAGTATCTACTGTTGCAAAGGAGGTGAGAATTAGGCTTTTCATAACACAGCTTGATTTTGTTTTCCAGTTAAGAAAAATTTATCACTATGGAGAAGGATTCCATATGACTTTCTCATTTTATCATTATCATTATTATTATTATTTTTTTTTATTCTAGGTACTTCTTTCTCACAACCTCCCAGTTCCCTTCCCTTCTGAGTTCCCTCCAAATGTCAAACAAGGTTCAGGCATAGTGAAAGCTGTGGAAAATGGGTTTTATCTTAAAGATGGTAGTTTCCAAGAAGCAGATGCCTTACTATACTGCACTGGTAATGTATTGACTGTAATTCTATGCATTAATTTTATTCTGGAAAACAGAATTGTATTGCAGAATTCTGAAGATATTCTTGTAATATATAATTCAAAATTCATATTTGTAAGCATATATCTATGAATTTTACCCATTTCAGGCTATAAATATACCTTCCCATTTCTTGAGGATAAATGTGGCATCACAGTTGAGAATGATCATGTGAAGCCATTGTACAAGCAAATCATCAATGCTTCCTTTCCCACAATGGGGTTTATAGGACTCCCATCTCGTATCATTGCCTTCCCACTCTTTAACTACCAGGTAGGAATATATTCAAAGGAAGTAAGAATTATTCTCTTCAGATATATATTTTATATTTATTGGATTATGTAAAACTGGAAATTGTAATGGGAACTATATGTATACAATATATGTACTATATATATACATATTTCTTTTCATAGGTACAATACTTCCTCGCAACGTTAACAGGGAAAACTCCTCTACCAAGGACAGCTGAAATGAAATCAGAGATTGAAGCCTATGCTGGAGAGAGGAAGAACCAGGGATGGAAAGAAAGCCAGTACCACATCCTGCAGAATGACCAATTCCAATACATGGAAGACCTAGCAACTCTGGCAGGCGTGGAATTGCCTTCACCACACCTGAAAAAGATCTGGGGAGTGGTAATACCGCGTTTGTTTTTCTCCTTTCCTATCTTCAAGTCCTACGAGTATGCCCTTGGAGAAGATGGGGCATTAGTCGAGAAGTGGGAGGGCAAGGTAGTCAGCACATCCTGGGACCTTACAATATTAACGGCGAAACAGACATTCCGGCTCCTGTGGCGCAATTTTCCAAAAGTTACATATATTCTGGGCTCTGCAATTCTTAGGAAATTGAAGGGTTTTGTTGGATTGTGATGAATTTAACATATTGTCAGAGGAATGGTTAAATTGTAGAAGTTTATGTGGGGTATGTTCATTTGTAATTACTGTTGTAGCATACTTTAGGGAATAACATAATGAACAGAAATATTTATAGTGCTGCTAATAAGGAAAAAAATAGGTATTGATTAAAGCATAGTGTATTTTTGATGATTCCTTATTATGGTAAGATAGAGATTTTTGCAAACATTTTACATATGCTGAATCAGTAATATAACCAATAATTATCACCACAATGCATGATAGATTATATTCTTTTCGTATTTAAAGATCTTTTGTAATTCTTTGATAATTTCAATTTTTGTTGTTAATGTGTCAGTATTTTGTCACTTTCACTATATGAAACTTTCTGAGCCTCCATTTAATAATACTTCCTTTGTAGATCATTTGGAGCATGAATAAATAACATGAAAATGTGTATCTCCGAAATTTTCCTTTTCTTCAACATGCGTAATAAACTTTAATATTGCAAATGACTGGAAATGCCCCAAAAGATGAAGGTGTTCTATTCTATATATACCAGTAATGGACTGATAACTTCTAATATAGAATCATGCAAAATATGCTGTGATACTTGTTGTAGAAACTTTTGGTGCTATTATTTAGGATAAACCTCCATTAGAGAATATTATGCTATGATGCCATTTGAAGGTAAATATAAGTCTCCATCACCAAATATTGAGCTGTGATGCCATTTGAGGGTAAAGTATTCTGAATATGCAAGGTACTGGTAACACTTAAGGATGTTATAGCCTGAGGTTGTGTGGATGAAAGGTAGCTGATCAATTCTGGTTTTATCATGTTCAGTAAAAGAATCATATAGTCTCTTTGGGCATGTTAAAATTGCATTCACTATACATACATCTAATCATGCAGTTTTTAATTAACGCATTGGATCTGGGTGCTTTGCTACCTGCATGGTCTGGGCATTAGGCTTACTTGAGTGGCGATTCTATTGGATATGAGGCTTGTAGGGCTAGCCCACATGAACACTTGGTATGGTGCTTTTTTTCTTTTTGATATGCTGTATCAAGATGGTAGTACAGTTTTACTTACACCAACTCTGTATCAACTCTCTGAGTTATTGATAAAAATAAGTAACCTTTTATTATTTGTGGCATTTTTAATCATTTTTACAATACGTAATTTCCTCTAATACACCCTGCGTCATGGTGGGCAGGAATAGGATCTTGAGCATGGAAATAGTGTCCTCCTTGAAGCAAGTGATGATACATTCCACACTAGTTTCTTGGTGGAAATAATAAATGACCCCCTTTCTTAATACCCTCTGAATCACCCTCCTAGAGCATTGTGCAACTGTGGTGGGTCATGCTTGTCAACCCAGCCTTTAGCTGAATTTCTCATGATAGCCTTTTTCTGTCATCCTTACTCGCAGCCAATTTTTTTTTCAAGACAGTATATTCACATCACCTGGCCCTCTGCCAATATTTCTTTTTAAGATGGCATATTTATGTCACCTAGTCCTCAGAATAATTTTTTCATGACACATTGGTCATGTCCCCTGTGTCCAAGGGGTTAACTGGTGATGTATCGGCAAAAAAGAACTGAAGAACATTTGATATATTTGTAACCATGACAGTGTACAGTATTAAAAATCATACAAGACCAAGGCAATACTAAATAATTCCATATAATATCAATGCACACATTTATTTGCCAGTGCACTTGTAAGTAAATTTACAAGAAAACCTGTATGACTATCGATTTTTGACATTAACTTCATCCTCTGATGAATTACTCACATTTGGAATGATTTCAAGAACAATTTTAAAATACATCACATCATGTCTTTTTCCTTGCACCAACATTTTATTCTCTTTGTAAACAAGATTTCATATACATAATCATAAAGACTCTACATGTTACATGAAAACATTCATTCTCATTCTGACAAACCTGACAGCCATTTTAATATTACAAAACATAACATCACGGGAACTAACTGCGCAGGGCATAAGCATACAGAGTCTTCTCTGTTAGTACAAAGAGAACATCAGTGTCACAGTGAAGCCCTAGTATCTCATCGTGAGTCTTCATTGAGATCACTAGCTGCCGTGCTACAGTGTTCATCCTCTTCCCAGATTTGCGATTCCGTAGTTCACCACTATATGCTTCTGACTGGAAGAACACATAAATGTGGCTCTTCACATCTGCAATGGCCACATAGGAGTTGTCTGTGGAGTAGGAAAATATGAACATTAGTGTATAAATGAATACTTATCATCCATTCAATTAATATTTTCAAGTTTTTGAAAATCCAGAACCTTAGTGATAGGAAACTATTTTTCTAATAATAATAATAATAATAATAATAATAATAATAATAATAATAATAGTTACATAGTATTCAGCTTCATCATCAAGTAAACTTTTAACATCAAATAACCCTACTCGGTATAAAAGATACTAATCCATTAAGAGCAAAATCAATGCATCACTTTCACCATGATCCCTTACCAGCAGAAGCACACGTAAATTTGGCCATTGTTTTCGAGGCTTTCACATAGCCAAAAGCATTGAAAGTTGCTACATGGGTGTAACTGTCCTTCTCTGGTAACCACAGAATGCCATCCACATCACTTCGAATGCAGAAGGCAGGTATAGCCGAGCCTTGAACCTGTGGATTTGGGAGAAAATTTCAGTGAAAAGGGCTACATGAGTTACTTTTGGTTTTCTTGGTTATTCTGTGTATGTTCTTGTGTTTCATTTTTGCCTATATATACACAGAGACAGAGAGAAAGACACACACACACACTTTTTTTTCTCCATTAACAAATATAAATCTAAAATCAACATGATTAAAAACTATATTTCCATACACACACACACACACACAAACACATTTTTTTTCACCATTACCAAACATAAATCTGAAATCAACATCATAAAAAATATACATATATCTCCGAAATGTTCATTTGAAAAGAAAAGAAAAGACAGAAAATCAGAATACATTATAGATTAAAATGCTTGTTATCTTAAGGCAAGCATTATAGTCAACAAAGAAGAAGAAAAAATACACCTAATCACACATAAAACTCATGAGATGATCATGCAATGGCATCCCTATCTTGCTACTAAGGATACACCAGTTGGCCTCACCTGAGAATTGAAGAGATGCTGTGTCGCTCCGAGTTGGCCGAGAGAATCCGTTTTGTGTGTGCTGCCATCTAAGTGGAGCAGAAGCAAGTCCTCCTGGGCTTCATCGCAAGCCTCCAACTGCTCTGGGTTGTAAGCCGGCTTGTCAAGGTCTGGGTTGTCGTCCTGGGATGAACAGGAGAAAAAGAAATGAAAAAAGTAACGACTATGAAAGTAACTGGTACTAACTGTATAATCAGATGTGGTGATGTAGATTTTGTAGGTGAGGAAATTCATAACTATTCTGTGGTAATGATGATAATGATAACATAAATAAAGTAATAAAAATATTAACAAACAAACAAAAAAATAAAAATAACAATACTATTATTGTTAATAATAAATAGATATATTTTTTAATAAGTAAAATTACATAAAACCACCACATCAACTTACCAATTTATCAGATGTAAGGTGTGCAAGTCTTTGGTTGACCTCTTCAATTAACTGCGGATCAAACACTTCCTCTCCACTCACATCATCACCTTCGAGGAGCTGCTTCCATCTAACCCCTTCTGAAGCCTTAGGTAATGTTAACTCTAATGTAGTCTCCCCTGTAAAGCAGAGAGAGAGAAAAAATGGAATGCTAATAACTGTAAGAAAGACATTGTATTATAATTAGTGGAATTTTAACATGACCCTGTCTTGGGTCATTGTTTTGCTGCATGATGGTAGACCCAAGATCAAATTTAAAACAAAACATAGGTGAAACTAGGCCTCTACACTTGGCAATGCCTAGAACTTAATATTTGGTGGCTAAACCCTTATAAAGCCATCTATGTAAAAACAAAACTAACAAAAGAGAATCACAGTAGATACAGTCTGCACTAATGGTTTAAAAAAATATGAGTCCCAATGATAAGAAAATTATCATGTTATAATAACTGGTAATTAGGAGAGTTATTTATACATATAATATAAATAATATTACAATCACAGAAACTTAAACTAACTCCATGACCTTTAACTTACTTATTGTCCAAGTGACCATATCTGCTGAAACCAGGTCAGTGAACTGTCCTTCGAGAACTATCGAATCCTTGATCTTGACACAGAGCTCCTTTGGTTGGACTTTCACCTTTAGGTCTTCCCTTGTGATTTGTCCAACATTCAAGTACACAATAAGGTCCTCTGCAGGAAAATTTGAGGTATATATGGAATGATCATATAAAATTAGAAAGAAACATAATTATGTCAACCTTTGCAGTCTTTCAAGAAATATAGGCAAAATGTTTCAACATGGGTCTTTCTCTGAATAGTACAAAAGTTGTGCAGCTGACATAAAAATCATAGAGACCATGAAAAAGGAAAGAAAAGAGAAAAATTCTTATCAAAATCAAACCCCCTAAACTTGAAGAACTTTTAACCCATCACTGATGGGTTGGCAAGAATGCATGCCATGTCTATTGTGTCCACATGTGCTATGTCACTAAGGAGTCAATTACTAATCCTATCTAGCTAACCTATTTACCCTTTTCCTTTATTTTCAGAAAGATTCTCTTTAATCTTTCATTGCTATTATTAATGTTAATAACATTATGATAATTATAACATCAACAACAAAAGGATTACTAATTGGCTCTTTGGTGGCTGAGCACTTGTGGAGTCATCTATATGCAAACAAATTTCACAAATGAAAACGACAGTAGACTTTGTGATTATGTGGCACCAATGGGTCAAATATTAAGTCTAAGCAGCTGATTGGAAACAGAAAATATACAAAAAATCAGCACAAAGGACTGCATACACTCTGATTAATCTCCGATTATTCAATCTTCAAAGATGATGGCCACTTCTTATTTTACCAAAATCTAGTCTTAGGTATCATCTGATAATACTCATCAATGAATGACTTTAATCTGATAGGAAATTCTGATGAAAATCACCCAGGCCTTGAACCAAATGTGAATTCCAAATGTAATGATACCACAGCAGAGGTAACTGGCTTATGCTACTATTGTGTTTGGTGTGGAGGAAACCTATATTTTCTCCAATCTGCTTACTTTTTTGTCTTACGGATGATGATAGAGATGTAATATAAGTTGCTGAAGTGCAGGAAAGCAAGTTTCATGTAGAATCCTATCAATATGAGGCAGAAAACATGGATAGTCCATTTGTGGTGGGAAGCCAATGATGCCTATAGTCCCTGCCAGGTGGATTGATGGGGAAAAAGATCAAAGGGGTGTATGAAGGAATAAGGGAAAGAAAGAAAGAGGTAAGGAGAGAGAGCATGAAGTTTGGTGTGGCTGTTGTCAAAGGTTATGACCATTCTTTTACTTACCAAATTCATCATATGATACCAAAGAGTATGTTTTGGAAAGATAATTAAAACCATTTCCAAGATCTGGCCACCATCTTTAAAAGACTTTCAATCAATAATCTCACCATCATTCTGCATGTATGTATATTTTGGCGACTTCTTTTCTTCTACTTTTTCCTTTGGCTTGGGGACTGTGATGGGACTTATTGAATCTTCCACAAAAGAGTAGTTGCTGTGGCATAAAATGATAAGGCCTGATGCTGTGGTGTCAAAAGAGCAGTATTCTATGGTACCTCTTCCTGCCAGTCTTCTCACTCGTCCTGGTTCCCAAGTAGCACCTAAGAGGAAGGATGAGAATAGAATCAGTTTGAAAACATTTTTCTCAAGTAGTCTACTAATCATGGCCAAACCGTTTCATAACTACAGAAAATAATCGTACTGTTTTAAGGTGACTATGTAAAAGTTGTTGTGGTTGAAATTTGTTGTAATACCATTATATGAGTAAAGCAGTCAATATTACATTTTATTTGTCAATGCAAAAAGTAATTTTTACAAAGTAAATAATTTTAGATTGACCTTTAAGGTGAACAACAACTGAGGAAACACATTGCTATTCAGGGCAGCACAGAATCATGTAGCACTGAAAGTGATTTCCAAGTGTAATATCTGGCCAGTGTTAAAGGCTTAAAGACCTTACTTCAAAAACAAAAACTACATCTGGAATACAGATAAAAGATAAGAAAAGAAAAGAAGGAAAAACTACAAAGAGAGAGAGATGACTGGTTAATGGTTGAAACAGATAAATGTGCTAACATCAAAAGTCATATAGCACTATGGTAAAGTTTTGTTGCAAAAAGGGTAAA